CATGTATCAGTCAGAAATTCTAAATTTAGCCATTTCAGAAAAGCACATCTCATGATGACTACATAAGGCTTGGGGGAACATCCAGACCCAAACCATAACAGCTGTCTAAAAATACAAAACAACAAAAAACCCCCCAAAAGTTAAAATGATACAGGAATCCCCATGTTTATAGCAGCATAATTCATAATGCTAAATCTTGGAAGTGATTTATATGTCCATCAGAAAATGAATGGGTAAAGAAAATGTGGTATTTATTTATTTATTTATTTATTTTGGCTTTTTCGTTTTTACCGGTACCAGGGATTGAACTCACGACTGCCTGCTTTCGAGGCAGGCGCTTATGCTGCTGAGCTAAATCGCAGCCCCGAAAATGTGGTATTTATGCACAATGGGAATACTACTCTTCTATGAAGAAAGATAAACTTGAGGCATTTGTCAAAAGATGGATGTACCTTGAGACCATAGTGTTAAGTGTGCTAAATCAGAAACACAAGCTTAAACATGGCACGGTTTTTCTTATATGAGAAATAGAAAGTATAAGTAAACAGCAACATAAAAGATAATAGAAAATGGAGATCTTTTGCAAATGGGAAGGGGAACAAGAGGTGAAGAGCGGGGAATTGAGGGGAAAGGGATGTAAGAAGAATTATACTGTGTTACTTATGCACATGTACTAACTCCCCACGCTCAGGGTAATCATTGTGTACTACAAGCATGCAAACTCCCCACCCAAAAGAAAAGACCTTTTTCCCTAGAGGGCTGGAGGAGAAGATTTAGGTAATGGGAAGAGAAATTCAAATTAGCTAGATCTTGTTCTGTGTGATAGCATGGAATAGGTGGGTCATTCACCATGAAATAGGGTTGAGTTCATAAAGAAGATTTTTTTTTTTTGAGATGTAGTCTTACTCTGTAGGCCAGGCTGGCCTTGAATTCATGGCAGTCCTGCTTCAGCCCCACAAGTGCTGGGATTACAGACATGTGTCACTATATTTGTTTTTTTTTTTTTTTGTCTTTTTCCTTTTTATCGGTACCAGGGATCGAACTCACGACTGCCTGCTTTCAAGGCAGGTGCTTATGCCGCTGAGCTAAATCCCCAGCCTGTGTCACTATATTTGACCTTTATTGCCTCTGTGATGAGGCTGACTCCTGCACAGAGCCTGGGAAGTAATTGCTTAGTAAGCATTCAGTTCCACCCTGCTTTTCTTGGCATCACCTTTTCATACATGTGATTGGGGAGGGCAAGTTATTAATGAGACTTACTCAGTATGCCTGAAGCCAGAGATAAAGGGTATACAGTATTTCATTCATGCTCAAATGAAGACTTGTACTGATTGGATTATACTTACATGTCAGATGTGATACCTCATTTTCCTGGAGAGCATTAGGTAAAGGTGGTCAAACCTCTGACATTTCCTTGCTGAGGGTCTATATAGATGACAAATTTATGCTACTGTAGCTTTTTTTTTAAATTTTAAAGAGAAGATAAGACAATTTAAAACAAGGTAATAGAGTAACAATAAATAATACATTGTGTATTTATTTATTTAATCGGTACCGAGGATCAATATTTATCTATTTATTTGGTACTAGGGATCAAACTCATGATGTCATGCTTGCCAGGGAGGCCCTGTGCTGCTGGGCTACATCTCCAGGTTGTATTGTTATCTTTATGTGTTATTCAGAGTATAAGATATAGGCACTTAATTGTCCAGACAATTCTAGCACAAAACTTCCTTTTCAATGAATTAAGAGAAATTAGTGGTATAACTATTTTAACTATTATATATATGTGTGTGTGTGTGTGTGTGTGTACACATTTTTGCTTTTCCCTTCTTTTCTCCTTTCCCCATCTCAGTTTCTCTTTGCTTTTGGACAGTTTGTTCCTATTTCACAATGTCTGTTGTACATTTTGGATCGTACTCTTCTAGCTTCTCACACTAAGAAGACAATGCAATGTTTACACATGTAAGTCTGATTTATTTCACTTATATCAGTTCATTTATGAGTATATTTATTTCACTTATGAGCTTTTAGTTTATTGTGTTTCAGTGTCTTTAATCATCTCTGTTACCATCCCTCCTCAGTTTGATTTGCTTCCTGTGTTTCCCAGTGTTAGCTCTTTGGAACAGATGGTATAATGGATAGACTTCCATCTTTTTTTCCTATGAGAAACTTCTGTTGTGAAAAACTACAAGTTTAGGAACCTACTGACTTAAGAGGAAAATGATAATCACCTGTAATGTTTGTTTTCTTCTGGTCTTAATATATATAAGATTTAATGTGAGCTCCAAGCAGTACAGTTTTGCATTCTGCCTTTTCATGGAATATATTTTAAGAAAAATTTTTATAAGATGGGATGGTGTTACATGTCACATATGAGGACTTATTTCTGTGATCTTTATGTTCCTTCATTGCAGTGATGGCCCAGTGATGGCTATGAGTCAGGCAGTACCCTGACAGTGGACTGACATTGCTGGAGCAGTTAGGCTATAAGATCTAGTTTATGGGAGGAAGCAATTGCTGTTTGGTGTTGTCCTCCTCTAGTGCCCTTGAAGCTCAGGGTACCTCCATCACACTTCTACCAGAACCACTGTGCATCCTTCTGATTGTATTTGGAACTTCATATGCTACCCTAGTGATCCCAGAAACTTTTTTTTTCTTTGTTTTTTGAGATAGGGTCTTGCTCTGTAGTCCAGATTGGCTTTGAACTCACTATGTAGCTGGTCTCAGTGATACTCCTATCTCAGCCTCCTAAGTGCTGGGATTATAGGTGTGTGCCACCATGCCTGTCAGAAACTTCATTTGTGGGGGCTCCTGTTCTCACAGATGTCTAATGTGATTTTTTTTTCTTTCTTAAAAGGAAAATACTGTTACTTCAGAATTTTTTCACTTTCCAATAATGGGGATCAAACTCAGGGGTGAGTGAGCGACATTCTCAGTCTTTTTTGAGACAGTTGTTGCTAAATTGTCCAGCCTGGCCTAAAATTTGTGATTCTCTTGCCTCAGTCGCCAAGTAGCTGGAGTTCCAGGTGTGTGTCATTCACTGTGCCTGGCTACTACTTTGTTTGGATGGCAAACCATTCCCAGTATTCAGCAGCTTGACAGAACAAATGAGAGCCAGATGTGGCAGCACTTGGCTGTTAATTCTAGCAATGTGAGAACCTTGAGGCCGGAAGTTACCATGTTCAAGCTCAACCTGGCTATGGTGACTTCTTTTGAAATTAAACAAAAACCAAACAAAATCAACCATCAAAACAAAAATAAATGATCTGCACTGTGAGAAGCTGAGACAGCAGCATTGGAGGTTTGAGCCTAGCTTGGGCAATCTAGTCAGAGCATATTTCAAATGAAAAAGAGGCCTGGGGGTTATATGTCCTGGGTTCAGTCCCTAGTAGTGGTGCCGGGAGGGGCGTTATAATAAAAAAACCAAAAAACAATTAGGAAAGAGTATTTTGTACTGTTCTATTTTACTTGAGTAGAATTGAAAATCTAGATAAAATGGACAGTCACTTAGGAAAATATAAATAGTCGGAACGGACTCATAAAGTGGAAAATATAAATGGATTCTAGTCTAGCCTGCAAAAAGTAGAGCCAGAGTGAGTATAGTAATGTATCCCTATAATCCCAGTATTCAGGAGACTGAGGCATCAGGATTGTTGTGAGTTCAAGGCCAGCCTCAGCAATATAGTGAGTTCAAAACCAATTTTAATCATGTAGTGAGACTGTTTCTCAAAAAAGCCCAACCAAACAAACAAGCAAAAAGCAGAGTGCCAGGTATCAGTTGCTTATGCATGTATGTACCCATATGTGTATGTGTGTATGTATTTATATTTTTGAGGTAGAATCTTACTATGTTTCTCAGGATTGTCTTGAACTCATGAGCTTAAGCAACCCTCCTGCCTCCGCCTTTCATAGGCATGCATCACCATGAGAGCTCAAGGCTTCTTGAAGACAGGACCTGTATGTCTCTTTGGTCTTCACTGTTTCTCTAAATAATCTGAGCAAATATTTATTCAGTGTATCAGCAAATAATTGAATTTACCCATGAGGGCATTTTATTTTTCTGGTCTGGAGATTAAACTCAAGAGCTTTGCACTGAGCTATATCCCCAGCTCTTTTTAAAAATTTATTTATTTTTATTTATTTTTGGTGGTATTGGGTATTGAATTCAGGGCCTTGTGTATGCTAAGTAAGCATACTACCACTGAGCTACATCCTTAGCCTCTATCTTTTTTGTTTTGTTTTGTTTTGTTTTTTGACTTTTTGAGACAGGGTCTCACTAAGCAGTCAGACTGGCCTTGAGCTCACTTTGTAGCCCAGGTCTCAAACTCAACAGTCTACCTGCCTCAGCTTCCTGAGTGCTGGGATTACAGGCATGTGCTACCATGCCCAACTCTAACCCCTATTTTTTAAGACTGTCTCGGGGCTGGGGATTTAGCTCAGTGGCATAAGCATCTGCCTTGCAAGCAGGCAGTCGTGAATTCGATCCCTGGTACCGATAAAAATGAAAAAGACAGAAAAAAAAAAAAAAAAAAAAGACTGTGTCTCACAGTTTCCTAAATTGCCCAAAACTGGGCTCAAAATTATGTCTTCCCTCAACCTCTCAGCCTGCTGGGATTATAAGCAAGTGTCATCGTGCTTGCCCAGCTAGCAAATGTGTTTTGATATTTTGAGGGTGCCCCTCAGAGGCATAGGTGAATCCTTGACAAGCGGTGTTGAGAATGGGGTCCCCATACAGTTGCTAAGACCACAAGATGCAGCATAATGGAGGGGGGAGGAAGAGGAGAAGGAGGAGGATGGGGAGGAGGATCAAGAGGTGGAAGAGGAGGAGGAGGGGGACACCTGTGTTAGAAGGAAGGGCAGGTGTGAAGAAGGGTGCTGACAGTTTGCAGGCAGCTTTGTGTTTTGAATAATGCCTATCTTTTTTATGTGTAATGAGTGATGCTACACTTTTGGGTGGACTTTGCCGGAGTTTCATAAATATTTAATTGACTTTTCAGGAGAATAAAAGCAGCCCCATTGATGACTGAAAATGACAAAGCATCCACCTAACAGAAGAGGAATCAGCTTTGAAATCGGAGCCCAGTTGGAAGCCCGGGACCGTTTAAAAAACTGGTACTTTTATATTTTTCTATTAACTAATGCCTTTCAGTAAAGGATTTTTGGAAACAGAATGGTAGCCTAGGTTTTCTGTGGTGATTTTCTTCTCTTTGACTCTTGGAAGATGAAAGAGACTTAAGGTTATAATGTGGGGCCGTCCTTTGTTTTTGGTGCAGGACGTATGTGTCCAGAGGCCCATTCTGTGACCCTTGGTCATATTTGTTCCCCTTCTTAGCTGTTCATCTGAAGGAGGTTTGGGAAAAAGCACCAAGAGTGCTACAGGAAGGGAAGGGTTAATAATGACAGTGTCTTGCTTCTCTTGCTGCCTGTGTGGAAGAAGAGAAGAGGGAAAGATTAGAGATGGAAATGAAGAAGGGAACTTGCATCAGAACAGCTACTGTGTTGCACACAGCTCCCCTTGTTCTGGGGTGAAGTGTGTTGTGGCTAAGACACAGTCATCTTGAAGATATCTGTCAGGATGGTTCTGTTCAAATTTGCCTCATGGGGTAGTCTAATAATAGAATATGGAGAGAGAGTTCTTAAAAGGTAAAGTGATATGGTTCAAAATATCTTACAAATTACTTTAATGCTCAAGATTTAGGGAGAAGTTTCAGAATGCAGACCTTTTGATCATGTAGGAATAGCTTGAAACTTGCACAGTTATCTCAGAATAGTACCTGGTATAGAAAGAGAATCAAGGAAGCCAGACATGGTGACACATGCCTGAAATCCTAGCACTCAAGAGGCTGAGGCAGGAGGATTGCCCCAAGTTAGAGACCAGCCTGTTCTAGAAAGTGAGACCCTTTCTCGGAACAAAAGAAAAAGAGTGCCAAGGAAGTACCTGGCAGAAAACTGTACTATTAGAATTAAAGACACCCAACATAGTTATCTAGTTACCTTTAGCTTGTTTGTTTTATCTGTAATTATTTTTTGGTGGTAGTCAAGATTAAACAGAGTTTACTTTACCACTAAACTACATTCCCCAGCCCCCCCCTTTTTTTTTTTTTTTTTTTTTTGTCTTTTTCCTTTTTATCGGTACCGGGGATCGAACTCACGACTGCCTGCTTTCAAGGCAGGCGCTTATGCCGCTGAGCTAAATCCCCAGCCCCCCCCAGCCCTTTTGATTTTTAAAAATTTATATTTATTTATTTATTGGTACCAGAGATTGAACTCATGACTTGGCACCTGCTGAGCAGGCACTCATGTGGCTGAGGCAAATCCTCAGCCCCTAGTTTTTATTCATTTATTTATTTTGAGACAGGGTCTCTGTATTCAGTTCAGGCTGGCCTTGAGCTCACTTTGTAGCTGAGCCTGGTCTCGAAATTGCAACGATTCTCCTGCCTCAGCCTCTCGAGTGCTGGGATTACAGGCGTGAACCACCATGCTTGGCTATTTATTTTTAAAAATTTATTTATTTATTTTGGAGACAGGGTCTCCACTATGCAGTTCAAGCTGGCCTTGAGTTTACTTTGTAGCCCATGCTGGTCTTGAACTTGCAGTAATCCTCCTGCCTCAGCCTCCTCAGTTCTGGGATTATAGGTGTGTGCCACTACACCCGGCTCCTTTTTATTGTTTAATTTTTCTCCATCCCTTTTTATTTTGTATTAATTGATTGATTGATTGTGGTACTATATTGTGGATTAAATCCCAGGAACACTGAACTACTTTCCCTTAATTAATACTTTTCCCTAATTATTCTGAGTCTTACTGATTTGCTCAGGCTGGCATTGAATTTGAGATCCTCCTGCCTCAGCCTTCCAAGTGGTTGTACCACTGTTGTGGTTAGCTTTAGTATTTATTTTTTTGCTGTAAGGGGGATTACACTTATGGCTTTCACAGTGAGCTGCATCACTATACCTTTTTTGTTTTTCTTGTTTACTTTTTTATTTATTTGTTCTCACTGTGTAGCCCAGACTGGCCTCAAATTTTTAATGACCCTTCTGCTTCAACCTCTTGAGTGTTGGGATTATAGGTGTGAGCTACCATTCTGGGTTAATTCATGTTTCTTATTTCATTTTCTTTTACTGTCCTTACCCAGTTTCAGTCTAAAAGTAGATTTCAGGCTGAAGAGTCTGTTATTATTATTATTTTATGGTACTGGGGATTGAACTAAGGTACATTCTGCTACTGAACTACATTTCCAGTTCTTTTTTATTTTGAGATGACCTCACAGAGTTGTCCAGATGGGTTTTTTTGAACTTGTTGTCATCTTGCCTCAGTGTTGATTAATGCTTGCTTTATAGGCATGCACTATAGTGCCCAGCTGTAAGTATTACCATTATTATTGTTACTTTTTTTGGTATTGGGAATTGAACTCATGACCTTGCACTTGCCAGACAGGCACTGTGCCATTGAACTATATCCCTGACCCCTATTATTTTTGTTATTATTTGATGCTAAGTGTGTGCTTTAACACTGAGCCACAATTTGAGCATGAGTCATTTATTTTAACATAATTTTGCTCATATATTTTCTTTCTTTTTTTATAGACAGGGTCTCTCTGTGTAGTCCAGATCCTCTTGCTTCAGTCTTCTACCAACTACTCACTTTTTAATTTAGCAGACTTTATGTCAGGCAGTGGATAGAGTATTGTTCCATCCGCTTTTGGTGTTATCTGAGACGCAAAGGTGCCAGCTGGCAGCTGGAGTGGTCTGGCCTTGTGTAGTCTGTTCCCGCTTTGCCTGAAGAGGAGGAAGAGTCTTAGGAAAGGGAAAGCTGGAACTGCATTTGGGCACAGGAAGAGTCTGAGAGGAGGCGTACTGTGCTTGTATCAGTAGTAATGCTTGCTTGGTTGGGTCTCTTGGGAATACATGACTAAAATCTAAGGTCCTTGCATTATGTCCAGAAGTTTGCTGCCTTCATTACCCTTATAAATGCATGTGGCAGATTAATAGCCCTTCCTGTGAACTTGAGGTTATATCTTTAGTTTGTAGGTTGTCTGCATGTATTTTAAAGCCCTATCTGGTGTAGTGACAACTTCTTGGGCTTTTGTGTGAGGTGTGTTTTTTCCTTTTCTTTTTTTTTTGGTTCTGGGAATTCAGTTTACAACCTTGTATTTGCCAGGTAGGTGCTTATTACCACTAAGCTAAATCTCCAGCCCATGGTAAGGCACTTTGTATTACAGTCTCAGTGATCTAACTGCTGGCTGTGTTTTCTTGGTTAAATTACTTTTCCTCCCCTAGCTGTGTCTCAGTTATTTTGTAGACAGATTGAGAAATTACAGTTGATTTGATACTTGGATTAGATAGAATCAGTAATTTGTATTTTTTGTTTTTATTGCTGTTTGTGAGACAGATCTCCTATGCAGTTTAGGCTGACCTTGAACTCACTGTATAGTGGCCTTAAACACATTATGGATCTTCCTGCCTCAGCCTCCTGAGTGCTGGGATTACAAGCCTACACAATTCTACCTGGCTATTATTTTGTATTTTGTGTTTCATATTACTAGGAAAACACATTCATTTATTTTTCTCACCTAGTTATGAATTTACTATAGAAATGGAGACATTGTGGTCAATTTGTAAAAATTTTTAGGAAGAAAATTCTCAAGTTAACATTGAAAGGAAAATCATTGGGCCTGTAAAATAATAACATTTGTTGAGTGCTGGTCATCATGTATTTCCTGGATTGTCTTACTTAATCTTCCATTTGGCAATCCCGTGATGTATGGGGAGCTATTGTAAGTCTCATTTTAGTGGTAAATAAAATGTTCATAGAGATGAAGTCACTTGCCCAAGGGCAATAGGAATAGGAATAGGCATTGAACCCAAGTTAGGCTGAGTTTATGACCTCTCTTAACAGAATCATGTTTTCGATTATTAATTTTTTTTTCTTACTGTTTTTGGTACTGGGGATCAAACTCATGACCTTGCTCTTGCCCGGCAGGTGCTTTGCCGCTGAGCTCTATCCCCGGCCTTGATTCCTAAATTTTAAAAACACGGAGAAATGCATTTTGATGGTGTCTAGCCAAATTCCTAACCTAGGGAATTAATCATTTATTTGTTTAGTTAGACGTTAGACTTTGAATGTTTTTGCTTAAAATAGTAGAGGGTTTGTTTTATTATCTCTAGAGTGAAAATGATTGTTTTTTACTCTAATAAGTGATTCATTTACATTGTTCTACTTCTGCAGGTGCAGCCATGGTACATGTGTTTGGTGTGTTTTCATTTCATGAAATCCTAGCCCTGTGTGTGGGGCTGGGATCCACCTCTTTATGGCTTATTTCCAGTGGCTGTTCACCTCTGAATCCTTGGATTATTTGTTCTTGCTTTTGAGATTATAAGGAAATAATTTCTAAGTATGTATGAATGAATGGGACAGGGTCTTGGCTATATAATAGTTCAGGCTGGCCCTGAATTCACTAAGTAGCCCAGGGTGGCCTTGTTCTGGTAGTTGATCCTCATGCCTCAGCTTCCTGAGTGCTGTGATTACCATGTGCCCCACCACACCAGGTCTCTAGTTTTTATTTTGAAAAATATCAAATGTAAAAGTTGAGCCTAGACATTCTGCCTGTATTATGATGTTTACCCTATTTGCTTTATATCGTTATGGTAATATAGTTAATAATTCCATGATAGCTAGTTTTTAGGCCATATCGAGTCTTCTATTGTTCAGAGAATTTTTTTTTTTTTTTTTGTCTTTTTCATTTTTATCGGTACCGGGGATCGAACTCACGACCACCTGCTTGCAAGGCAGGTGCTTATGCCACTGAGCTAAATCCCCAGCCCCAGAGAATCTTTTGACAGATTTTACTTTTTTATTTCTATTTTTTGGTTTGCTTGGCCCTAAAACAGGGTTTTGTAGTCCAGGATGGTCTCAGAGATCATACTGCCTCAGTTTCCCAGTGCTAGGATTACAAGTGTGTACCACTATGCCTGTGTCCGACAGGTTTTTTAAAACTCAGGATCCAATCAAGATTCACATATTTTTGTGTTTTTATGTCTGTTTGTGACCACTTTTTTTTTTTTTTTTTAAGGGACAGGATTTGGCTGTATAAGCGCAGGCTGGCCTGTAGT